CGCCACATAAGACCCAGTCGCCTCTTCGGCATGGGCAAAATCAAGGGTAAGGAGAGTGGACTGCGAGTCGCTCCCAAAGCCTAAGGGCTAAAGTGCCGAACTGATAAAAGACCTCGGCGCCACATAAGACCCAGTCGTCTCTTCGGCATGGGCAAAATCAAGGGTAAGGAGAGTGGACTGCGAGTCGCTCCCAGAGCCTAAGGGCTAAGGTGCCGAGCTGATAAAAGACCACGGCACCACGTGAGACTCAATCGCCTCTTTTGCGTGGACGAAATATAAAGCAGTTCGCATTCAGTATGAGAAAACAAAGGAAAGACTAGTTCGCTCTTAGCACCATGATGGATGCAAACTTGATTTCTTCATAGCCGACCTCCACCTCGGTTGCAGGCTCCACATCAAACTTACTGGCTGGGACCAGCTCGAAGGACGCTGCGTCAAAATCTACCTAGGTGGAGCGACCTGATAAAGCAGTCACACAGAACCCCCTCTTAAGAACGGCATGATGAGCTTCACTCTTGAGGTACTTGGCCGGATTGCAGAACCTCTTGATGGCCACATCCCTAATAAGGTAGATGTCCTCGGGGTACCTGCTCCACCTCTCCTCGAGCAGATGAATTCGCTCTCGAGCCCTGAAAATAAAGATGGCGAGGTCCTGCACAAGGCTGCAAACACTTGGACTCTTCCAGCCTGAGAAGCAAATTGAATCGACGCTTACGAGCTCATCGAATTAGTCATTCCAGGCCAAAAGGAGCAATCTACTCCCTTCGCCGAGTTACTTTCAGCTTGGGACTAGGGGCAATTGATGAGGGCGGATTTGGCCCTCCAATATCATTGTGACACATGGCATCTCGAAACAACTGGGTGACACCCGGGACCACTTAGACAACAGCTTGCCTTAGCCAAGATGATGGTGCCCCAGTTGGCGACTTGGTGCTGACGCTGACCTGGTGACCTGGCGACCTGGCATTGACGCCGACCTGGTGACCTGCCTTCACCGTCGACCTGGCGACCTGCCTTTGTGTTGACCTATCAACCTCGACCACAATTCAGGCCGGCTAGAAGCACCTCGTCCATGGCCGACCTGTAGCACCTCGTCATTGGCCGAAGTGACCTCGACGCAAAGAGTGACCTCCCTCGAGGGCGTGCCGGTTTGACTGAGGTCCAGGTGGCGACCTGCGAGATGTGCTCGTTGACAAATTCAGCATGCATATCCCAACACTTCCACGATCCTCGGAAGTTGGCCCACGTACCAAACATTCCGGAGGATGGTCAACGTCAATGGCGGTTGCCTCCGGGAATCTCGGACCACTTAGACGACCTCTCGGAAATCTCAGATGTAGTGCGTAAAGCCCACGCCAAACGATGCCTATATAAAGGCACCAACCCCAATGACATAGGGGGGCAAGTAAGCACATTCTAGCTCTTATACTTTGTGATTTTTTAGCTCGCAATCTATTATGAGAGTACTAACTTAATCAGCGGAGCGACCTCGCCGGGTTAGTCACCCCGGGTCCTCTGACATTGATTCTTTGCAGGATTTTCTAAAGAACTACATAGTTCAACAATCAATCCAGCTCGCCACCAGTTTGCTCGGCACCTAATCTACCCCCAACTCGGCCTAGTTAGCTTGGCACCTAATCTGCCTTCGGCTTAGCCTGGTCAACTCGACGTAGTTAGCTCAGCACCTAATCTGCTCCCAACTCGGCCTAGTCAACTCGGCACCTGATCTGCTTCCAACTCGGCCTAGTCAGTTCGACATCCAAGTCCTCATCCAACAAAAATTCTCCACTTCCACCTCTAAATCATCGACCACTTGAAAGTAGATTGAATTAGCATAATCCATCAGGACACATCCCGTTCCGTTTTTGACAAAATGGATCACACCCTGTACCTTTAATAAATAAAAGAAAAGTTCGTGCATTTAAATGACAAATACACCCGCCCCGTAAACTGACCTCCATCATAATAACACAGGTTTCGTTGTCCTTTCCCCGGCGAATTTGCCTCGTTTATCAAAAAATGGTATTTGCCCAATTAAGTAGACGCAGTAATCTCACCCATCTAGGATTATCTACCCAATTCACACAAGCAGCCAAAAAACTGTTCTTGGTTGTTGACCCAAAGTGGATACTTCCAAAACCGGGGTGGGCCGCGCCATACTTAACACAGTCGAGCGCATCGGATCAGAAAGTGAGAGCCCCGAATGGCGACAACCGAGAAGCCAGTCTAGTCCCTCTTCCCCTCTCTTATTAGCCAAGGGAAAAGGCAAGAGAGTGGGGAGGGAGAGTTGGGGGTAGTGTATGAAGTTGCCACGTGTCTACCATCTTCCTAATAAGACAATGGATATGTCCAAGCTCCCTCGATTTGCTTATCTAAGCACGCTATTAACTATTGACCATTTTAACCTAGCCCCAACAAGTTGCCATCCGTAGCGCGATTGAATACCTACGACCGACAGAGAATAGATTCCAATTCAATAGTTTTGATGTGAGGGAAAGAAAAAAGATTAACATAGAGAAGAGAAAGAATGGACGACAGAGAATCTTAGGATTACTAAAAAATGGGTTGGACTTTTAAGCCAAAGAGGGTGGCCCAGTCACTGAAGGGTCCTGATTTACTCAGGGGCGGTCCGTGTGCAAAGGGTGGTTTTACCTTCTTCAAGGCTCAAGTACACACAATCTCTTGTACTTTTCAAAAGTACGCACCGCTTTTTTTTTTTATACTTTTGTCAAATATGAGAAAACCAACGGTGGATACGTTGCCCACCCTGCTTGCCTTATTCCATTTCCTTCCCTTTTTTCTATTTTTAATAAATAACGTGTTTTTTTTTTCAAGTTCGATTTCCTTCTATGTATACATTTTATATCGAAAGACGAAAATACTCATGGGGAGTGTGGTCAACAGCCACATCCATTACGTTGACACGTGGCAATCGAGGGAGGACACAGGACAGCGGCTACTTTTGCGGGGTTTTTTTTTTTTCTTTGGTGGGCCCTCTACCGTCGAAGAGAAGGACTCGCATTCACTCGATCCGGTTGCATTCACGCGGTGTGAGGCGTGAGGCGTGAGGCGTGAGGCGGAAGGGCCGGAAGGCTGGACAGATATTCCGAGGTGGGACCCTTCGGGAGTGGGTCCCAGGTCCCGGCCTCAGTGGTGGGTGACACGTATTAGTAGGGGAGGAGGACGATCAACCGTACGTAGGGGGGGTCCTTTCGATAATAAACAATCAAAAAGAGAACGACAAAATCCAAAGCGAAGACCGAAAAGTCAGTGGTGAGTGAGTCGCCCGCGTTACGGATCCTTCCAAAGCATGCCGTCACGCGCTCCCTGTTACAAGACAAAACGGCGTTTTCCGTCGCGGTGGTACGTCGCGTAATTAAGCAACACAGGGTGTCAAATTGGTAACTTCGCAGGGGAGTGTTTGTGGAAAGGAGTCGAGAGTCGAGACGAGCACATTTGTCGTCACGCGTCTTGGCGTCGGCCACACGCTGGAAAACTTTTGTCTCCTTCCCTTTAAAATTTTAACTTTTTATTTTTTTTATTTTTTCCCTCAATTTCTTGCTGGGATTTTTTTATTGAAAAATAAAAAAAACGAGAGGAATATTATTTTAATTAACTAATTATAGATGGCGGGGTCCATAAAACAGTTTATTTCGGCCGCCCGCTTTGTCGTCTCCTTCGTCTCCGTCCACCCCCGTCGTTCCTTTGCGTTTGACTCCACGCCTTCACTCTCGTGCGCTCCTCTTATCCTTAGCATCTCTCTCTCTCTCTCTCTCTCTGTTATATCTTCGACCTGCTTTTGTCTTGAGACTCTCGACCGTTTTTTAGTGCTGTTATTTCTCCATTTCCTTCGTGCTTAAGCGAGATCTGGGTTGGGGTTTTGTTTGCTCTGGAGCGCGATGGGTAGTAAAGGTCGAATCTTTGAGAGGTTCTCTTCTGGTTTCTAGGGTTGTTTGTATTTGATTCTTTGAGTTTTTGTGTGATGGCTGGAGGTAACGAAATCACCGTCAATGAGGCCAAGGTAATTCGTTTTCCTTCACTTTAATTTGTTTGCTTTCTGTTTTCAATCTTTTGTTCCGAGGGAGGGTGACGAGATGGATTGGTTTTTGGGTTCTGTTTGGGTTTTCTTTATCGACTGTTGAAATTCGACTTTTGTCGAGCCTGCTGGCGGTTGAATTTTAATTGGTGTGGGTTTTGGAGCAATTTTAGTTAGGGTTTCGATTTGATTTGATGGGTTCGGGATGAATATTTCGCCGCTTTGGCGAATTTTGCTCTGTAGGGGCCTCTTCTAAAATCGAAATATCAGGTTTCTTCTTAGGTTTCCTTGCTTGTCTGTAGAATTTCTAGGGTTTCTTTCGGCGGGGCATTTACTGCCTTTTCTGCTCCGGCGTGGGTAGTTAGGAGTGTGATTCTTTTCCATTTTGCAAATGTTTTTTTTTTTTTTTTTTTTTTGTTTCTGATTAGAATGGAAGCATATAAATAGTGTAGATTCATTTAATTGGGGTGTTGATGTTCTTATTCTCGAGTAATTCCTAATATCTCTCATCCCGTCACTGTACAGATGGTGGTTCCGCTGAACACATGGATTCTCATCTCCAATTTCAAGGTGGCCTACAATCTCCTCCGCCGACCGGACGGTACGTTCAACCGCCACCTGGCGGAGTTCCTCGACCGGAAAGTCACTGCGAACACAACCCCCGTCGATGGAGTGTTCTCTTTCGATGTCATAGTGGACCGCGCAACTAGCCTCCTCAGCCGAATATACCGGCCAGCCCCGGCCGATGAAGCTCAAACTCAGGCGGGTGTCATGGAGCTTGAGCGGCCCCTGAGTACAGAGGTCGTCCCCGTCATAATTTTCTTCCACGGAGGTAGCTTCGCACACTCGTCCGCCAACAGTGCCATCTACGACACACTCTGCCGCCGGCTTGTGGGCATCTGCAACGCCGTTGTGGTGTCCGTCAACTATCGTCGCTCGCCGGAGAACCGGTATCCATGTGCTTATGAGGATGGGTGGGCAGCTCTCAAATGGGTTAACTCCAGGCCTTGGCTTCAGAGCGGGAAGGAGTCCAAAGTTCACATTTACTTGGCCGGAGACAGTTCAGGGGGCAACATTGCTCACCACGTCGCACTGAAAGCAGGGGAATCGGGCATCCAAGTAATGGGGAACATACTACTCAATCCGATGTTCGGCGGGCAAGAGAGGACGGAGTCGGAGAAGAGATTGGATGGAAAATACTTCGTGACAATTCAAGACCGAGACTGGTATTGGAGAGCTTTTCTTCCTGCAGGGGCGGATAGAGACCACCCAGCATGTAATCCATTCGGTCCCAACGGCAAGAGCCTCAAAGGGGTGGAGTTCCCGAAGAGTCTGGTGGTGGTGGCCGGTCTGGACCTTGTCCAGGATTGGCAATTGGCCTACGTCGAAGGGCTGAAGAAGGCTGGCCAAGATGTGAATCTCATCTATCTGGAGCAGGCTACCATTGGCTTCTACTTGCTGCCCAACAACAACCACTTCTATACAGTCATGGAGGAGATTAAACGCTTCGTGAATTCTAACTGTTAATACACTTCTTTACCTATAGACAGACTGGCAGCCAAAGCCATAGATGACAGAATAGAAGCTTAACATTTCACTCGGGGGTTGTTTTTTTTTTTTTTTCTTTTTCTTCTTCTTCTTCTTCTTCTTCTTCTTCTTCTTCTTCTTCCTTTTCTTTTTCCTTCTCTCGCGTTCGGGGTGTTTGTGTAGTAAGTAAAGTAATTCCACTTAGTGATGCAATGAGGTCTGTAAAGCTCAGTGGTTCAGTCGGATCAGAACTCTTGCCACTGAACTTGTGTTATGTGAAGCTTTTAGTAGACTACTAGTTTACTACTAACGGCGGGAGCTTGGTTTGGAAGATCCACCAAATTAAAAGTTTACCCCTTCTAACTTCTGGATCACGAAGAAGGTGATGACTGGAGTGTGGGGGTAATGTTTGGTGGGAGCTCGACTGCTGTGGATGTCTGGCTAATTTTAGGGGATATGAGAAAAAAAAAAAGGAAAAAAGAGAGAGAGAGAGAGAGAGAGAAATGGATGGAGAAAGAAACATCCACTGTACTGTGAAACATGTATGTTATAGTTGTGCTGTAGAATTATATGTTATTTTGCTTACTTTCTTCTTTGTCTAGGTTTGGCTTTGCAATGCAATAGGCTCTGTAGTTTTTACTTGTTTCCATTCTGTTTCTGGTTTTGGCAAATGGCAATGAGCAGAAAAAAACTAGAGAATTGACTGCAGCTTAAATCCTTTTCATGGTTACATTATTGAAGTTTTGTGTAGATCCATTCGGGGCACTAGTCTAGTGAAGATCTTGATTTGAACCTTAATCCAAATGCTAAATGCAGCCTAAATTGTTTGCTTCATTCGGGTTTTCTTTCATGCCATCCAAAATGGTGCCTTTGTCCATTTGCAGTGAGTGGGGGGTGGGGGGTTGTGGAGTTTGGTTTGTGTCATCAATTCATCATCGCCTCATCGGGTGTAATAGTCTGTGGAGAGAGAGAGAGAGTCAGTATTGATGTTGTTTTTTAGTAGATTCGAATCCACAATTAATGACATGGTGCACATGAGTCACGAAAGTGTTATTATCGATCATTGATCATATTGTTGGAAATCTGGAGTTCATTATACCACATAAACCAAAAAAAATGGTGTTGTGATGGTGAGGGACAACTGTGAAGAAAGCTAGAAAAGTAAAAGGTGGTTGAAGATTTTCTAAGCACTCATTTTTTGTCTATGCACCATCCTATCTATATGCATATCAAATCAAATATTATCATATCCACAACATAAGATAATTGTTAACATCGTCTTGATTAAACCAGTTGGGGTATATTATCTATTTTTATCACGCGATTCATGCATATACTTGAAAAGCAGAATAAGACTCTTTAATCAAAGATTAAGAAAACAAAAGAAAAAGGAATACAAGGCACAGTTTGGAGAACATTTGATGAAAAATCATTTATTTTAAATAGGAATAGTATAGCCATTTTTAAAATGAAATGATGAGCCAAGACAGGCCAGTAATGAAATGAGCACTTAAAATAAGTTGAAATTTTAGGCTTTTTAAATAAGTGCTTATTCTCAAGAAGAAACACTAATTCTGACTTATTTTCCAAATGCAAATAAGTGCTTATTAATATGGTCTTAACCCAAAATAAATATTTATCTAAATAAGCACTTATTATTAATCTAATCACACCCAAACTTGGCTTAAGACTGCCTGGTACAGCTGGCTGAATGCCCAACTATGGAACACGATGTTCCCCAGACGCCCGCCCATCTACCACGCATGCGGTCCACCAAAGAGTATCACTATTTAGGGGTGAATGATATATTGATATTGGATGCATGTTGGAATTAGAGACCGTAATTTGTTAATCAATATGTTAATCTAGGGGGTGTTTGGCACAGTGATGTTGCATTGTCGTTGTGTTTTGGGTTTGATCAATACAAATTTGTGAGAAATATGTATTGTGATATCATATATGATTGCCATTTCAATTAAAAAAATGCATGTAGATGGGAAACATCAATTTTGGGGTTGTTTAGTACAGTGGCCATTTATTTAATAAACATTTTGTTTGACATCTAGGTATCTCATAACATAAATGGTAAATAAATAGCTGGATGTTGGGGGGAAACATTAAGTATGTCTTTGAAACCATGGGCATTTATTCACTAAACATTTGTACTTGATTTGTTTGTAGAACCGAGAAAAACATAATGAATCTGTTAATTGACACTTAGGCACCACCAGATACCATTAGGCACCACATCAGCAAAACAAGAACTAAACGCCTACCCATTAGGGGAAGTACTAAAATGAAACTTCCCCCAACGGTAAACACACACATAAATCAAGGCCTGCTTTTGCAAGTCTCTATGCATATAGATCCACATAATGGGAAAATATTGAAGTAATGCCTATATAGCAACATTTATTCAATAAACACCTATGATTCCAAATACATGCTAAACTATCTCTCACACAAACAAGAAAATATATCAAATAGCATTTCGCAATAAACGCCTATATCACGATAAATGACCACACATGCTGTAATTGCGTGTCATCAATGAATTATTTGAAAGCTTGTGATGATGGCAAAATATATATATATATATATATATATTGAAAGGGCTTAGTGGTTGGAGTTGGATGTATGTATGAATTATGAGGGACCACATGATACCAGAGAAACCACATATACTATTATTATTTTTTTTGGAGGGTGTTAGGGGCACTGTTAGGCTTATTTAAGTGGTGAATTAGGGAGAATTAAATGCTGAAGAACAGCTAAGCTGGGGGAGTAAGACATGGGAGTGGAACCTTGGTTCTTTGACTTTTAGGCCCCATTAATATTGTATTGTCACTTTTTAGCTCTATCACAAAAATCACGTTGCCTCTTTCTTTCTTTTGTTTTTTCTTTTCTCTCATTGATTAATTAATCAACCAATGGATTTCAGATTGGTTTATCTTTTCTTTTTCTATGTTTTTGGGTTGATTTTATATTTTGGATTTGTTATTGTGTCTTGCCTGATTTGTCGTTTCTTAAAGTAGCTGGTTAGGTTTTGAATATATTCTCCTATACGACCCAAAGTCATTTTCATTTAAAGAGAGGCTTTCTAGCTTTTTTTTTTTTCTCTCTTTCTATTTTTTTTTAATTTACCCACATTCTCATGACAACCGTGGGAGTGGATGTCTTATCATCTGGTGCGTGGGTGATGAATGGATGTTTGGATGGGTGTTAGATCTGATTATTGATGAAATTTAGGGATGGATTCTAGTCGAGCCGAGTTGAATAGTATGAGGTTCGAGTTCGGCTCGAGACTGTTTTATAAGGCTTGTCGAGCTTGAGCTCGGCTCGAGTAAAAAATTCATAAGCTCGAGTTCAATTTTGAGAAAAAATATTTTATAAAAATAAAAAATTATATATAAAAATATTTTTATTTGATATTTAAAAAATTCATAAGCTCTAGTAAGCTCAAGATCGGCTCATTTAATAATCAAGCCAATGAATTGGGTTCGAGCTTGAGCTTGGTTGAAACTAAACCGAGCTTTTTACGAGCCAAGCTCGAACAGCTCGTGAAAAGCTCAGCTCATTGCCACCTCTAATGAAATCAGATAAATTCCTGATAAAATGCTTCCCTAAGGCATTCCCATCGTACAAGAAATATCTTTATCATAGAGCGTGCCTCACACCGATCTCAAACATAGTGTGAGGTTAATGTAAAGAGTAGATGCGGACTCATACTTATCACATAGAAATATTCCCAATGCACGATTGAATTTACAAATGGGGAAATGTTCCATACTTGTCAAGTATGAGAATGTACATAAAGAATATCTTTCATAGATTCATACTTATCAAAGGGACATGCACAGATGTACATGTGGGGAGGTTGTGGGACGCGCTCTGGGAAGCCGAATTCCTTACTGATATGCACACAACACATGCATAGCCGTGAGCCTGGAAATACATACATATGTGACAAGGACTAGTTAATTTCATAACATCCATCCATGCACAGTAGGACCTCACTTTCATTTATTTCCAGAGCCTGATACTTTTGACCAAAATTCTTCATAACAAGATATTATGGCCCCATCCTTATTAATTGACGAGTGACACGTGGCAAGATTTTTCATCTGACATGAAACAGCAATACCTGGCGCATAGAGCAGTGCTCCATCAATGAAGGCAGACAGTGGCAAGTGTTGGGACAGGAAGGGGCATTTTCTACCTCTACAGTTCTACCCGAACTAACGTACCTACTTTAATGCATACATTATATACATTTGTAATCTGAGTGGTAAAATTATAAAATACACATTTTTTAGAAGCTCAGACCATGGAATAATTTCACTGTACATTTAGAGCTTTGCAAAAGCATAAGAACAAGATTGATATCATAGCTTTTTCAAAGATTTTTTGTTTTCTTTTGCTTTCAAGAATTTAGAACTCATCTTAGGTGTTGTTTGGTATTATTGTTGTTTTTCTTACAATGGACATGACTTTGCAGAAAAGTTGATTTCACATAATCCAAGGCATTCGGTGTTACTTAAAATGATTTAAAAACACTTAATTAAATAACAAAAAGTAAGGAAAAGAGTAAAATACCTACATGATGCTGATGTGGCAAAAATGCATTGTAGAAACGATTCCAATACCAAAAACAACTTTAGGGTTCTCTTCTTGGGGGTTACAAGAAAGACAAGAGCTAGTAAGATGGAAAGGCTCTAAGCTTGTAAAGATGATAGGAAGTATCAACGGGAGCCAGCCGCGTTTGCCTTCTTTGAGAATTGGGAGGGGGAAAGGTGTAGCATAACAAGCTTTTAACTATGGGGTAGTAGTCATGAGGTGCATCAGCCAGGCGACAACTAGCCCACCATTTAGGGGGTGTTGGAAAACATTGTTGGTTTTAGAATTCGTATCTGCACCCCACAGATGACAATTATGAGAAATATTCTCAATGCATGCTGAGATGTGCATGTGGGGCATCGGTGGGGTGCAGATGCAAACTCTTGGTTTTGTTAAATTAAAACAATTGCCATGTAAGCAAAAGCAATGCAATTTTGCTGATGATGTAGTATAGTACAAAACCAATCATGTTGTCGAGACTAGGGTGGTAATGAATGGGTGGGACCTGGAAATGAGTCAGCCTCTTGGTGTGGAATTGGGATCTGTTCCTTACAATGACCTCATAGCTACATCCCACCATGTATTAGGAACATCTCCCATGAATAATAATAATATACAAATACCGAAAATGTTCTCAATGTACAACTGCAAGATGTGAGGCCAATGTGAGGAGCACCGTATGTGGAGCATATCTGGACTGCTCAGAGTGGGGCTTCACTTCACCGGTCAACTGTCACCACTTACCACACAGGTACACATACGTAGCAAGTAAAATTCTTTTTTACCTTTTTAGGGTGTCACTCACTCACCCACTCAGCCACTGGCATTTTTGTTTTTGTTCTTTTATGGCCAAACAGACCATTTCATCAACTAATTAATGTCAAATATATCAGAGTCTGAAATAGGATTTAACCATTCTTGAGGGGACATAAAACAAATTGAACCGGATTACTAAACTCTTCAGGCCTGTTAACCAATTCCATTGAAATTGCACTACAAGCTCCCTTTGGAAGCAGTACAAATGCAAATATGTATAGCATAAATACATATAAAATAATACAAAATATAAGGTTTTGCACTCTACATATTTT